TGAAGGTCTTTGAGTAACTACTTCTGCAGCAACAGTAACAACCAAATAAGTGACTTACTTTGTTCAACACCTTAAAAGAACTTTTTTTTTTTTTTTAACTATTTGTTCTTGAAAGTGTTAGTTGGCATATGTATAGGCTTATAAATATTTATGGCTTTACTTTCTGAGCTAGCCATTTTCAAATACTTGTAGATCAGTGACAGTGAACCTTTTAGAGCTTTCACTGATAAGAAAATGCTGCAGCATTTATTCCATAGATTCATCTTAAGTTACCTCAGATTGTTCAGGTAGCCTGTACTAGATAGTAAATACGAAGTATTTAGTGTCTGTCTTAATTCATCATTATGATCCCAAGTGGAAAGAGAGGAGGGAGACAAGGAGGAAATAAATGAGTGCTTGGAGGAGAGTTAATGTTTCCTTACAGATTTTACTGGCTTTTCACAGAAGTTCAAGGTGTGCTTTGTCTGCACAGGGCATGTAGAAGAAGGTGGTGAGTGAAATGATGAAATAGTTTGTTCTCTCTAGGCCATACTTAAGGGGCTTTTAAAGAAGCCCCTAGACAATAGGAAACAGGGAGAGATAGATCTTTGCAAATGGAAAGGGAACCAAGAGATGGGGGAAGAAAGGAGGAAGGGAAGTAAAATTAAAATTTATTATGCACATGTAACAACTCCCCACAATAAATGTAATCATTACTGAAAACACATATAATAAAAAAAAATTTTAAAGGCGCTTTGACAACAACTGTGTTGTGAAGGGAAAGTTGTTCACTGGCAGTTTGCTTTGCCCTTGAGGAAAATTTTAGCTACTGATCCAGAACAAGTATCAACTACTTCATTATAATATTTCATAAGATATTTATAGCGATAGAAAGTAAATGGATTTTAAATAGTGTTTTAAGAGTTTTTGCCAGAGACAGAGTTAATGATCCACACAACTATGAGATAGATATCACCCTTCTTTCTTTAATTAGAGAAAAATTGATAGTCTAATAAATGGAGCATGGAACTTCTACTACGAGGTTTATAAGGAAATCAAAAATTATAATTGAGCTGCATTGTACACTGAAGGGTGTAGCTAAAGAAAAGGACTTGGGGTAAGATGTTAAGATGTAAATTTAATTGAAGCTAAATACTGTCCAGGGTTTTAAGGCATTTTATCCTGTTTAATAAGAATCCACAAAACATTTTAAGCACAGGAGCTAGCACTTGGGCTGAATTTACTTTTAAAAAAGATTAATGTTGGGGGCTGGGGAGATGACTCAGTGGAATAAGCACTTCCCTGGCAAGCGCAAGGGCCTGAGTTCAATCCCCGGCTCCACCAAAAAAAAAAAAAAAAAAGATTAATGTTGACAGGATCCAAAAAAAAAAAAAAACCAGGGGCTGGTGAGATGACTCAGTGGTCTAAAGCACCTACTTAGAACAAGCTTAGCAAAGCACAGGGACCATGGTTCAGTCCCCCAGCACCACATGCCAGCCAGCCCTGCCCCCTGGTGGGCTGAGCTGGCCACACACACAACATAAATAAAAATAAAAACAAAAATTAAAATTAAAATTAAAAAAAAAAAAACAGATGGATTGAATTACACTTTCTCTACCATTGATTTACATTCTCAAATTCCTTCATACTATCTAAGACTGCAATGCTAGATTCTTGATAGTGGGATTTTCAAGGTAACTGAAACAACCTTTCAAGTCCAAATGCAGTTTCTTGATAGACAATTTCTTGAACTACACTTGTTGTGGCTTTACCAAATAAAATCTAATAGATAAATTTCCACAAGTGCTATGGTGCTTTCTCCTTTCCCTCCTTCCATTAATGATACTCTTTTGATCTTGATTTGTTCACTTGCGTAGAGATGTCTCCTCTCCTCCCCTCCTCCCTCCCCTCCCCTCTACTCTCTTCCCCTCTCCTCTTCATAGACCTGCTAATACGTTTCCCCAGCATCTTTTCATTTCATGGTTTTAAACTAAGACAAAACTAGATTGCAAGAGGAACACAGTTAACAATGTTTGGTATGCATATAAAATGTAGGCAAGTGTGGAGAGGGTAGCTCTTCAGCAAAATCTGTGAATTTTAAGAAGCTTTTCTGACTTTCTAAAAGAGAAGAGTTGCCTAGGACCTTTTTGTAATACAGAGGGTCCCTAACTTACAGTGGTTCACAAGTGATACTCATTCAGCAAGATTATACTTTGAATTTTGATCTTTTTTCTGGATTAACTATATGCAGAATAATACCTTCAAAATGCAGTGCAGAACAGTAAGTTATACCTCCCAGTTTGTCGCATGATTCTGAGGGCGAATAGATGATACTCTACAGTATTACCAAGGTTTTTTTTTTTTTCTTTTAAATACATCAGTAAATTGTATGAGGTATTCAGCATTTTATTATAAAATAAGCTTGGGTTAGATGATTTTATCCAATCATAAATTTATGTTCTGAGCATATTTAAGGTAGATGAGGCTAAGCCATGATTGGCAGTTGTATTACATGCATTTTCAATTTACGATGTTTTCTATTTGTAGTGGGTTTATTGGCATGTACCCCATTGTAAATGGAAGAGTACCCATACTAAGAAAAATCCCTATGGAACTATGAAATTTTTATCTTCTACTGACATTTCTGTCAATTATGTAGAAATGAATTAGCATTAGAGCACTCTCTTGTAGCTGTATACATTGTAATGTTAAATGTATTTCGATTTTTAAATTGTTACAGTGAGGGTGCCATATATTTGTGCACTCTTTTGGGGCTGTGATACATATATGGGGCCAGGAAGATGGCTCGGTTGGAATAAGCACTTCCCTGGCAAGCGCAAGGGCCTGAGTTCAATCCCCGGTTTGGCCAAAAGTATGTCTACATACATGCTTATGGGTTATAATATTTGCCTTCATTTTCTTTTTTAAAAAGATTAGTGGTTATATTTAATTTTCTTACATACTTGCATTATTTCTGGTAAACCATAAACAAATCATCATCTGAATTAACCTGATATTTTAATGGAATGGAGATGATGCAATTTGGTGGGGGGGATGATAAGTGTATTTCAAGAATACAGGTAAAAAGAGGCCTGATAAATTTTTGTGTTATTGCTATACTTATAAACTAATACAAATAATTCTTAAATTGTTCAGTTGGTTGGTTTTGTTTGTTTGTTTGTTTGTTTGTTTGTATGTTTGTTTTTGAGGTACCAGGGATTGAACTCAGGACCCTGTGCTTGTCAGGCAGGTGCTTATTCTACCGAGCTATCTCCCTGGCCCTTGTTTTGTTTTGTTTTCGTCTTTCTTTTCTTTTCTTTTCTTTTTTTCTTTTCTTCTTTTAGAATGTTACAAGGGGGCCAGGGAGATAGCACAGAATAAGCACCTGCCTGGCAAGCTCAGGGTCTGAGTTCAATTCCTGGTACTGCAAGAAAAAAAATGTTAGAAGGTTTTTTTGTTTGTTTGTTTGTTTGTTTTTTGTTTTTTAAATGTATTTGGTATAGGATCTCACTACACAGCTTGTGTTCCTCCTGTTTTCAGCCTCCCCAGCCCTGGGATTATAGGTGTGTGCCACCATGCCCGGTGGCAGTGGCCAGCTCAGTGCATCCAGGGGTGTGGTCTATGTTGCTGGGTATGGAAACCCTGTCACAGGGGCTTACTGTGTTGAGCTGTCTCGCTGGCTCTTAAAAGGTGAATTATTAGCTTTTAAAATTAACATTAGGGGGCTGGGGAGATAGTTTAGTGGTCTAAACACCTGCGTGGCAAGTACAAGGATCCCTGGTACTGCATGACATGCTGGCACCTAAACTGGTTCCAGGTGAGCTGTTCAGGCCACCAAAACCAGGCGTCATGGCACATACTTGTAATCCCAGTGCTGGGAAGGCTGAAACAGGAGGATCACTATGACTCTTAAGTGAGACCCTATACCAATTAAGTAAGTAAATAATTTTTTATTATTTTTTTATTTTTTGGCAGAACCGGGGATTGAACTCAGACCTTTGCACTTGCCAGGGAAGTGCTTATTTTACTGAGCCATCTCCCTGGCCCCTAAATGATTTTTTAAAATGTGAAATTAATATTAGTAAATACTGTTTCAATTGCTTACTTTATAGTATCAAGAACTTAGCTAAAACTGGAAGAATACTTAGTAAACTAGTCCCATTTCCTCTAAAGAAAGAAATTGCATATTGTACAGAGGGAAACATTTGAATTTTGAATGGCTTTTTTTTTTCTTTATTTTAGGACAAGGTTTACAGGGTCTCACTATGTAGATTGAACTTGTAGTGATCCTCTTGTTTTGAGCCTCTCAAGTGCTGGGATTACAGGCATGTGCCACTACACCCAATCTCAATCATTTTTCAGTGTGCCCTGTGGGTGAGACCAGCATGGCCAGCTGGCCGCTTTAGTCCACTGAGCTATCAGGCTGGCCCTTTAAAGAGCTTTAGATTTTTGTTTTGTTTTGGTCTTTTGAGTCAGGATCTCTCACTCTATAGTTCAGATTGGCCTTGAACTTATATATTTATATAGCCCAGGATGGCTTTGAGCTTACAGTGATCCTCCTGCCTCAGCCTCCAGAATGCTGAGATTACCAGTGTGCCCCCACATCCAGCTAGTCTTAAAATTTTAAACCATGAATTTTTATTAAGTAAGTGCTTTGGTATAGAGCAGAGATGGATTTAGTTTGTCTAGTAGGATCTCTGTTATCGGCTAAGCATTGTCATTCTGGGGATATCTCCTGTGACCTCCATGATCAGCTTAGCACTGTCAGTCTTGGGTTATCTCAGTACTCACCACATACAGTTGGCTGTATATTATGGCAAGAGCAAATAAACAGAAAGGTAACCAATTGAAAATATTTGTTATACTTTTTCTGTGGAAGTAATTCGTTTACAGTACTATATATATGTATATGTAACTCTTAATCAAGCTGGAAATGATGGATAAATGCTGAATTTTTCTTTATAACCATTATATAGTTATTTTTTTTCAAAAATCTTACTACCTTTTTTGTTGGATTTTAGTTGATGCAGATGAAATTAAAAGGCTAGGAAAAAGATTTAAGAAGCTCGATTTGGACAATTCTGGTTCTTTGAGTGTGGAAGAGTTTATGTCTTTGCCTGAATTACAACAGAATCCTTTAGTACAGCGAGTAATAGATATATTCGACACAGATGGGAATGGAGAGGTAGACTTTAAAGGTAAGAAAGTTATTCTTGGTTTATAAATCACAGGCTAAAAAATTTATATGTAATCATAGTTCTGTGCATAAATGTCTGAAACTTAAAATTTTTCCTATCTTTATAAATTGGTGATGCTATAATAAAAGATTATTGCAGTTATATAAAGATTATTTTGAAGTTAGTAAAAGCTCAGAATCTATGGTATACACTTTTTTTTTTTTTTTTTTTTGCAAAACCAGGGATTGAACTCAAGCCCTTACGCTTGCCAGGCAAGCACTTATGCTACTGAGCCATCTCCCCGGCCCAGTGTATACATCTTAATGGACTAAGACTCTTGACTTTTGGTTCGTAAATGACCAAGGTGCCTTTTAAGGTAATCTGTGCCCAAAAGGAAATTTTTTAAATATTTCCTTTATTTCTAGGAAATTAATTTCACTCAAGGGCAACTTTAGAAGCTATATTTTAAACATCTGTTTTTTCACCTTTTTAAAAATGCATCAGGTACCAGGGATATAGCTCAGTGGCTCAGTGCCTGCCTGGCAAAGACAAGGTCCTGAGTTTGATTCCTGGTACTCACACCCCCTCAAAAGAAAAGAAGCAATGAAAATTAAATTATAGGAATAAGAATTATTAAAGGATATAATTATTTTAGTTTTTCTACATTTTATAAGCACACTGAATAGTGCCTTTGCTGATAACATGATACTTTATTTTGCACTTTAATTCTATAAGTAGGCATCTCATTTCACCAATAATTGTCAAAGGGGTTTTTGTTATCTTAGTTTTAGAACTGAATTACTAGTGAAGGGATCTTTAACAGATTATAGTTTACTTGGGATAGTAAAGAAAAATGAGCATTTTGCATGAAACTTTTAACTGTATTTAAATGATTCTGAATTTTGGAACCAAAACCAAAATAAGTTTTGTAAAATAATTTATAGTCTTTCTTCAAATGCCTGTTTTAATCATTCTCTAAGAAGGAAAAGTTAAATACTTTCAAGATTTTTTTTTTTTTTTT